CAAGGACCCCCAGAGACCCCTCCAGTTGTCACCTCCAGGGACACCAGACCCCCAGAGACCCCCCCCAGGGACAGAGCACATCGAGGGACACCCTGAGACCCCCCGGGACACCGCCCCTCCTGAGACCCCCCCAAAAATCACCCAGGGGTGCCACACTGAGCTGTCAGGGACACCCCCAAACCCCGCAGGATTTGTTCCCAAACAACCCCGCCTATCCAGGCTCTCTCTATCCCCAAAACCGCGGGGGTCTCCACCCCTCTCACGACCCCCCCCGACCCCCCCAAACCCACGCACGTCCAGGAAGCGCTGGTTGATCTCGTAGATGAGCTCCAGGTGCCGCGGCAGCAGCGACTCGAGCAGGTGAACGGGCCAGCGCTCCAGCGCCTCGGGCAGCACCGTGTGGTTCGTGTAGGCGCAGGTGCGCACCGTGATGTCCCACGCCTGGGGGTGGGGGAGACACGTGGGGACACCCCCGGAGTGACCACAGCGACCCCATCCCCCCCCAATCCCCCCCCCCCAATCCCGCACCGCACACCTGGAGGAGAACCCGGAATGCAGAAGCCACGTGACCCGCAGGTTTTGGGGATCCCCCCCGCCCTTGATTTTGGGGAGGGGTCCTGCTGTGTCACCCCCTCACCCCTGCGCTCACCTGATCCCATCCCAGCCGCTCCTCGTCCACCAGGATCCGCATCAGCTCGGGGATGGCCAGCGAGGGGTGGGTGTCGTTCAGCTGGATGGCGACCTGAGGTGGGCGGGGGGCGACGGGAGGGGTCAGGGGGGGTTCGGAGCGGGGGTTTTGGGGGGTCCAGGGAGGAGTTTCGGGGTTCACCTTGTCCGGGAAGCCGTCGAAGGACGTTCGCACGGGGTCTCGGCTGCCGAATTTGGCGGATTTGAAGCGCCGGACGATGTCGTGGAGCGTGGCCGCCACCACGAAATATTCCTGCTTCAACCGCAGCTCCTTGCCCTCGAAAAACTGCCGAGAGACCCCCGTGAGACCCCAAAACCCTCCCCCATCCAAAAATTGGGGGTGCCCCCTCGTGAGACCCCAAAACACCCCCCCCAAAACCCCTTTCCCACGAAAACCTGGGGGGTGTTCCCCCTGCGACCCCCAGAACAGCTCCCCAAAATCCCTTCTACCTCACAAAACCCGGGGTATCCCCCCCGTGAGACCCCCCCATAAGGATCCCCAGGACCCCCCCCCCGTGATTTTGGGGGTGTTTTTAACGCTCTCAGCCAGGTTTGGGGGTCCCCCCGCTCCCCCCGGGGGTCGCAGCCCCCCCGTTTCTCACGTTATCGTTGGGGTACAGCACACGGGAGATGTTCTCGGCCAGGTTCCGATCCAGCACGGCCTGGACGTAACCCCCGACATTGACTGGGGGGGACAGGGGGGGTCAGGGGGGACCCCCGAGGGTGGGGGGACCCCGAGTGGGGGTGCTCAGGGATGAGGGGTTTATTGGGGAGCGGGTGGGGGGGTCTGGGGGGCCCTAAGAGGAGAATTTGGGGGTGTGGGGTGGGAAAAGGAGGGGTTGGGATGGGGATAAGGGGGAGGATCGAGGGGGAATTTGGGGTCTTGGGGGGGCCTGAGGGGGGCAGGGAGGGGATTTGGATTTCCGGGGGTGAACTTGGTGTGGGTTTGGGGTGAATTTGGGGGGTTTGGGGTGGGTTTGAGGGGATTTGGGGTGGGTTTGGGGACTCACAGTCCTTGAGGTTGAAGTCGTTGGGGGCCCGCGCTGACCACAGGCGCAGGGTGTTCACGGTGTTGTTGCGGTAGCCGGGGACAGGTGTGTCATAGGGCAGGGCCAGCACCACCTGTGGGTGACACCTGAGCGTGCCAGGGACCCCCCCAAAACACCCCCGGACCCCCCAAAATACCCGCGAAACACCCACCTCACCTGTCCCTTCACACACCTGTGCCTTACCTGCGTGTCCATCCACCTGGCGCCGCCAGGCCCGTGCTCCACGCGCCCGTAGAAGTGAACGGGGATCGTGTACTCGGGCCGGGCTTTCTCCCAGGGGTTCCCGTAGCGCAGCCAATCATCGGCTTCTTCCACCTGGGGGGAGGGTCCCAAACACCTGAGACCCCTCCCCTTCAAACCCC